TCAAACGACAGTGGACAAGTAATTTTAGGACATATTTGCATTAATTATCTTTTTTTTTTTCTTTTAGGCAGCATTTGTTCTCCACAGTTCTGAGGTTAGGATTTGAGTTTCGACTCTACATGTTCTCGTCACGCTTGTGTGTGTTTCATCCCGGTACTCCTACTTGCTCCCAAATTCCAAAAACATGTGTTAGCTCCATTAAGAAGTGTGAAAAATAAATTGTGATTCAAAGGTGTGAGTCGGAGTGTGAATGCTTATGTCATGTGCAACCCATAATTAAGTGCTTTTTTTCAGTGCCTGCACAGCATTGGAAAAAAAATAAAAAGATTTGTAATTCAATGTATTACCGGTACTAATAATTAAACAGATGAGTAATTGATTTCCAGCAAAGTTCATTTTTGGTCATTTTAACATTATCATCCTCAATCTTGCTCCTCGCCCTCCTTCTCCGAAACATCCTCATTCAGATTACAGTTGCACACTTAGCCTGCAAACATGTCAGGACATATTGTCAACTCCAAAAAGTGTCTGCTCATGTTCCCAAATCTACAAGTCACTGCACCTGACTCGTTCTCCCACAACCTGACTCACACATCACCTGACTACACACCCAGTCAGCGTGATCATGATGTCATCATCAAAGAAGCAACAAGATGAATGGATTGTTATTCACTATATTGACCTCTTTTCGGGCTTCACCTGTTTGCCTTCATCTGCTTCAACTGCACAAAAAGTTTGCTCACAGTTTAGCGTTGACCCTCTATTGAACTATACAATGATGACTAAATGTTTGCATTCATAAGAAAGAGTGAACACGGTCTGGAAAAACTCCAAACAAACTGCCAAAAACACCTTTATGTCATGAACTGTTTTTATTTATTTATTTATTTTTATTTCGAATGTACTCAGTTTTGTCTTCTCCCCCGCCCCCCATTTTCATGTCCTGTCTTACTCATTAGATTTTTTTCATTTCCAACTTTTCTCGTCAGCCCAGTCACTTGTGCCGACCAATCAGCTACCTCAGCCAATCATGTCTTGTCCAGATGTTGCTCGTTGTCTCCTCAGTTTGCTTGGATTTAATTCCTTGTTTTCTGTCAGTCTGCCTTAGTTCATTATCACGTTTCCAAGTCACGATTCTTCCGTTTTGTTACTCTGTATTTTGATGAACGCGGACTTATTTCGGCCAGTACACATGCCTACTTTGACTAAAAGAAAGAGGGTGGCACAGTGGTCGACTGGTTAGCACGTCGGTCGACTGGTTAGCATGCTGGCCTCAGAGTGCAGAGGTCCAGGGTTCAGTTCCGGCTGTGGCCTTCCTGAGTGAAGTTTGCATGTTCTCCCTGTACGTGGGTTTTCTTCGGGTACTCCGGTTTCCTCCCACTTTCCAAAAACATGCGTGGCAGGTCATTGGCACACTCTAAATTGTCCCTTGTTGTGATGGTGAGCTCAAATTGTTGTTTGTCTATGTGTGCCCTGCGATTGGCTGGCAACCAGTTTAAGGTGTACCCTGCCTACTACCCGAAGATAGCTGGGATAGGCTGCAGCACGCCTGCGACCCTTGTGTGGATAGCCGGATCAGAAAATGGATGGATGGATGATGAAAAGAAAGTCTCTTCTTTTGAACATGACCCTGCTCGGCCTCCCAGCTTCCCTACGCTGACTTCCACCTTTTGCCATCATTATCAAAACTATTTAACACTATGCGTGAATGAGGAAGTCACTGCAGTCCTTTATTGATCTTTGCCTCCATGCTCTCTCTGTGCTACCATATTTAGTTACTTGAGTCTGGTCTTCAGTATCGTGCCAGCACACTCCACTATTGAATCGAAAAAAAAAAAACCTCAGCCAATCAGCAAAGAAGCTGCACTGGTAAATCATTTCTATGAATCTAATTTCGTCACTGACTGTGCCTGACATCAGTGCAGTGTGGGTTTAGTTCTCATTCGGTGATGTTGGGGACATGAGTTTGAATGTTTGTCTTTCTCATTGAAATACTTCCTCATTTATCGCAGTGGTTATGTACTAGACCACTCTCACGTTAGATGAACTCCACAAAATGGCGACCATACAGCTTAATACATTCTGTATAATATCAAAATATATGTGAGCGGGTGCACTTGAGGTTACGATCCTTATGGTCTATAGTCCTGTAGTATCATTATCGTAATAGTGGAGTTGTGGAGCTTTTAAGACAGTTGTACTCTGCAACAGCACTTTAACTTGTATCAAGTTTGAAAATTTGAAACAAAAAAAAAAACTTCAGACATTCTGTCTTTCACACACTCTAAAATCCTAAGTCACACTTATTTCTCTGCAGTAACAGTCCATGTAGAAAATAATCAAAACAAAATCCTGCGATTTAGCAAATAACCCACAAGTATGAGTCAGAGCAAATCTAATTTTGATTTCAATCTGAAAGACAAAGGCACGCACGCACGTATGTCATTTGGTTCTCTTTTCTGCCTGTGCAGTCGTATCTGGATTTAAGAGATTTTCGAGCTTTATTGCAATTAACTGTGGGCATCGTCCGCAGAGCTTCGCAAGAAGGGCGGCGTCTGCGGAGGCGGCTGGTGTTGCTGCTTTGACGCCTGTTGCTCGTGGTGGAAGTGGCTCTTGGGGTTCCTCCTCCTTTTCCTGCTTCTGCTCGGACTCCTTTTCGGCCTTATTGCGCTAGGTGAGTGCCATTACCATTATAATAAACTAGTTATTACACACTGTAATAATAATAGTCCATAATAGTACAGTGCAACCTAATTATAATGTATTAAAAATGCACATAGGGACACATTACCAATTAATTTCTTATTAATTGGCAGAAAGCAATTATTAGTATCCAATAACATTGACATAAACTAGTTATTATACTTCGATTAACTAGCACCTGAATTTCATCTAGGCTCAACTTTCTTCATGACAGAAAGAAATTGTTATATAATCTTTTTGAAAGTATCTATGGCGACCAATGGCAAATTGTTTTCTTGCTGAATTGCTGAATGGCCTGTTGACATTGTAGTAAACTCGTTATAATAGTACAGTGATAATTCTGTTGGTTCATTCTGTTAAATATGCCTTCACAGACCCACTGCACAAAGTTTTTCGTAAATTAGTATCTATGCATATACATGTTCAACACGATGATCAACTTGTATTTACAATTACCAGTATATTAATTAAACCTGTTGCTACATCTAAATAAATTATCTAAACAGCAAACTATTTTTTGCGAATTGACAGAATTGTATTGTCATTGTTCTGTAACAATAAGAACAACAACAACAAAAACAACAACAATCAAAGCACATTTTTCACACACAACAGCAAAAGGTTAAATTCTCGAGTGGTTTGTATGGGTGTATGACTGCATATCTGAGAGGCCCACTCTCTTATTCCATATTAACTGTCGGGTAATGGGGATTTTTGGTCGTTGGCGCTCAGGGGCCCATACCGGACACTTGTACACAGTCTGTTTTAATCCCCTTTGTTTGCCTGAAAACATGGGTTGAACTGGTTTCATTGTTGGCATAAGTGCACTTCACAGATGTCTGCCTTTTCTCATGCAGCTAAGAATAAACGACCTGCATTTCTCAAACTCCTCTCCCGCTTACTGCAATAGGTGATTCTTACCTCGCGAGACCTCAGCTGGAAGTTCTTGCCTTCATGATAGCAGTTGTAAGTGCGAAGCAGCAACAGGATGTCAGACCTGACAAAAGAACAAAAGCTTGCAATGATGTTATTTCCGTGCAACCATAATTATGAGCAAGTAAAAACGACTCACTTGGGGATGAGTTTGTCTTCACTGAGCTTCACGTAAGTTTGATGCTCTCCCATTCTGACGAGAGTCCAGCTGCGGCCAAATAGAATACAGTTGCATTAGCATGTTTTTTTCTGTATTTTTTTTTACTATTGAATCCAAATGTATTTTGTGAAGATAATTTAAGACAACACAGTTGTCCTAACTTCTAATTCATTGAAAATATGTAGACAATAAAAGAATGTTGCATTACTGAAGAAAACGCAACAAAATAGAAAACAAATGAAATATCAAATAGCATAATAATTGAACTGTGTGGAGTTTGCATAGCTAGCTAGCTAGCTAGCAACTTAGCAAGAGAGGTTCTCCTAGGTTTGACTAGAGTGAAAACAAGAGAAGTGCATTTAGGAAAAGTCACATGTTGTTTTTGGCACAGAGCCAGCAGACTGACAGTGAGGCAACAGACTGTAACCACCAATGGCAAAGCCTAAAACATGACCTGTGCAGCCTTTTCTGGTATTTTCTCTTAAAGATAAGACATTTAAAATCGGTTACGTTTCATCACAGTTCCGGGAAATAGAAAGTGATTCGACTTCTGATGATGGATTACAAGCCTATTGAGAATTGTAACCTGTACAAATCAATTACAGAGGTTCACAATAGACTCCAAATGTGTCAGATTTCGACAGCAGCTTTTGTGCACAGTCCTCATCAGATCCCAACAGCGATTTTCAATTGGGTTTAAATCTTGGCTGTGGACGGGCCATTAAAGAAAAAAAAAACATCCATTCTATCCTTGATTTCATTTCATGCTTAACGTCACCGTCATGCTGAACGGTGGAATTCCTCTTCAGTGTCATCTTTCTGGCTGACGTGGAAACCAAAAAGGGGCTCCACTTCCAACTGGAGAAAAACAACCACAAAGCATGACTCTTCGCCGTGGGGATGGTGTTCTTCTGGTGATGCACAGTGCGGTATCTGCAGTGAAACATGCTTCCAGAAGACTCCCCCACCCCCCCCCCACCTCATTTTTTTTCCCCTAAAAACACCAAAAATTTTGCTGTAGTACCATCCTGCATTAAAATAGAAAAACTATTAAGTGTCCTTGAGTGTCAGGGCTAAAGCAGTGTCGGGGTGTCCAGGTTCTCTGCAGCATCCAAAGAAGGAAAGTGCTTTAGGGAATTTCCGGGTGTGGAAAGCCCAGCTCTCAAGTGTGCGGGGGAGGAGCACAAAAGGGTATAAAAGAGCGACGTGTGGTTCAGGAGATCATTGTGAGGGCTCAGTCATCGTCAAACATGAGACTCAACCCTCAATCAGTGTGCAGGATCATCTTGCTGGCTGCCTGCTGTGTGCTGAACACAGGTGAGGACATCCCTTGCTCATGTTGTTTGTTTACTGTCTCCACTGTTGCCGAGTTGTGTGCGCCTACATAACCTAATCTCACGACACCGAGTGACCCCCACCGCTTAATCTCGTTACTTGTGTTTGTTCAGACAGCACGTTTGTTCCGGGAAGATGTTTGTGTCCTGAGACACAAGCCGGCGTGCGAGGCAAACTTCAGGAACTCAGCGTGTACCCCAAGAACCCAAACTGCGACAAAGTCACCGTGATGTGAGTTGCACATGCTACGCACACCCACACACATGCACGTACCCATTCAAGTGACCTAACATGCACTTGGACGTTTTACAGAGTGACACTGAAGAGCACCAATGAGCCTGTGTGTCTGAGTCCAGCTGCTCCGATGGGAAAACAACTTATTCGATGCTGGAATAGGTAAGAAGGAGTCAACAAATATAATAACGTGCATTTGTATTTGCTGAGTTGCTGGAAGTGACACGAGAAAGAAGTTATACATTTTCCCGGTCATGTGAAAACATTTTTTTTCCCTCTGTATTTATTCTTCGGCTGCCAAATTGTCCACAGGATACAGTTGGCATCGTAGGCAGGTCTATTGTGCTTGCATATTTGTAGGTATGTTGGCTTGATCCCTGGATCTTTTGGAGTGATGCAAATTTGCATTTCCTCAAAATGGTCCAATAAGATCATAAATCTAAATACATTTTTAAAAAATATATATTTTAAATTAATAATTATTCCAAAAAAAAATGTTTTTTTTTTTTTTTTTTTACACTTGTGTCATTTCCAGCTGAAATCAGGGATTCCCAAACTGTGGGAGTGCACAAGATTGAAGTGTCGCTGCGCTAAGTCATTCAACCATGATAGAGATTCAGTTTCACTCCAAATTTGCAAAACATATGAATAGTTTTTGACTTCCTAAACACAAACTGCACATACAATACTTGCGATGCATATGCACATGTCAGAAAAACCACCTTTGTGACGCTTTTGTGCAATTATGCTCCCACTACCCCCATGTAATCCTTCAATTTAGGTTAAAAACTGAGGTTGACCTCTATACATAATCACGTATGCATTACATAGTTTGTTTTTGTTTGTTTCGATTTGTCCGAGTTGCCTCATGTGCCAATGCACCAGACGTGACCTTGTGATTGACAACTTTTGAGACAAAAACAAAAAGCGACATCAAGATATTTTCTTTCTTTCCTAGAGCGAAGTCTCTGGGCCGCAACGTTAAGTTGTGTCTGAGGAGAAGGAAGAGGAGAGGTCAGCGGCAGCGTTCTCGACACCTTGGGAGAGCCGCAGATAAACGCCAGTAGTGGAAACAGCGTGCAGCTACCGTACAAGAAGGGAGTGTGTGTACATTGGACTTTGTTATATAAACTGATATCGGGGTCCTTCAAAAAAAGCAGAACTCTGTGTCATTTTCCATTTAGTGTCAGAACAGCTCAGGTTCTGTTGTCTGCTTGACATGAGATTGTCTTTTATACATACTAGCAGTAAGAGACTCTATTTATGTTCACTGTTTGAATTATTGTCCAAAAATATCAATCTTGCACAAGGTGAATATTTTATGCAAACTGTTGGAATAATCGCATTGCTTCCAAATCTGCAGTGTGTCATTTATGATCAGAGAGAAGATGGCATGGGAGCATTTCTTCCACAGCAGGATCTGAGAGGTCACATGACCCTGTTTGGTTAATAATTAACCACAGGATGTGAGTCAGTCAGGGGAACACTTCTTCAACCAAACATCAAAAAGTGGCACAGATTCCATTGACAGAAAGTTCTCTGTGACATGACATGTTATTACATGACATTACATGATGTTTGTTTGTTTTTTAAACTTTTATACAATACATTGCAATGGATTCCATTGACAGAAAGTTCTCTGTGACATGACATGTTATTATATGACATTAAATTTTGTTTGTTTGTTTTTTTAAACTTTTATACAATACATTGCACTACATTGCAATACATTCATGTGACAAGACGTGGAACAATGAAAGTGAGTTGCTTATGGCGTCTATTAAACCTCCCACTCACATTCTTGTTTGCGCTCTCGCTTAAGCACTTTCCACTGCCATTGAAGAATCAATGCTCGTGTCATAACCTGCCTAGTTTTCCATTAAACTGATCTCTGTGATATGCGGATGGTTGCGAAATGACTGCATTCAGAGTTTGGTGGTACAGTAAATGAAAAGCGAAAGTAAGCTAATGAACAAGGGCCTCTTGTCATAAACAGGGTCGGCATTTTAGGGAACTTTTCATATTTAAAGAGTGACAATCAATCTATGAGATTAGAACACATTACAATACTTCTTTTTCTTCAGTAACACCACAGAAGGGTGGCAGTGATGGCCAAAAGGAAAAGTGTAATGATAACCATAGAACAAGAAAACCTCCATTCAACATGAATTCAATTCATTCTGTGGGATTTGGCCAAATGGTGGAAAAGGGAATTTTGGGATCAGTAGTCTTCCCTATGTGTAAAAAATAAGCTTTGCATCCAGAAAATAATATAGAATGAAAATTGACAAAATAATGGCAAAATAAAAAGCAAAAAATAAATACTACTCTGTAGTCTGATACTACATTGAACTGCAGAATATTTGTGGTTCGGCATTCCTGAAGATTTGCGTGATTTATTTTCTTTGTCAACAAATCCTTCGTCGTTAGCAGAATTTCTCGGTTATTCACTGTTTTTGTGCTCAAGCCAAAGCAGTGAAAATATTACCATATACAGTACAGTATATGAGTTCATTTGTGCCATCTGTTGGAATCTTTGTGTTTTTGTTAGGTTTAATTCATTGGTTGTACTTTTTCTTCTGCTTTTGACTAAATTCTGGCATGTCTTTTGTCTCATTTTGTTGACGGTTCTTGTTTGTTTGTACTTCTCACCTGATGCATGGTAAAAGATGAAATACTGTTTGTGTAAGGAGCGTGCACACTTGTTTGCCCATAGGTGACATCTTGCTATTTGCACTACTATGTTAGCTAATACCAGTGATGGGCCTCATGTGAAGGTGGTTTGTTTGTGAGGAATAATTTGAAAATTGAATAGAGTCTATGTAACAAGATTACATGACTGTGAACGTGCTAGAAGTATGGCAATGATGCTTTACAACCCTCTTCGTTTTAAGTGCTTTGCCACCAGTTTAATGGCATCTACATGCAATTACAAGCCCCGTTTGTTGCAGGCGTCAATTCTCTAATATTTGCAATTAGAGGCACAGCTCAGTCTCTAACCACCGCAAATAAGGGAGGTTAACTGAACTTATAAATTCACTGAAAAATCAAAAATCGAAGTGAATAAATGTACAACATCCATAGATATTTTAAAATGTATGTTACAATACTCATGGGTACATGGTTGTAGTAGCCTGTAAGGAAACAACAGTATCTTGAGTGTGAAGCAGACGAGCCAATAACTAGATCACTATGCTGCCGCTTATACTTTACCATACCAAGGTGAATCATTCTTAAATGATATCTGTCATGCTTGACACCTGCAACTCATTCAAGTCCAACTTCAGAAAGCTCATACCGGTTGATTGTGCAATGCCGCCACCCAGTGTTTAATGACAGGAGAGTGATAAATCCCTCCAACGAGCACTTCATCTCCACGCTACTTGAATCACGTGGACCATTATTTCATTTGCAATGACCATTGTGACACCAGAAAACTGGGTCAGTGATTTACACTGCATTACTGCTGCCTGATAAGGCGATTGAAAAGTAATGTTGTTTTTTCCCCCCTCCAGAATATACATTTTTGTATCTTCATCAGCTTCACGTCTGAAGTTCATAAAGTGACACAAAGGACAATCAACAAATTACTGGCGTGTTAGCAATAAAAATGTCAATACAACTATTAGAATTTGGTGCAAATTTAGTCAAAGAAAGAATAAAGAAATTTGACGGCTTTCAGTGTTTGAATTATTGTCCAAAAATATCAATCTAATCTGTCCATAATTGGTTAGTCAGTCTGCCCCTCGTGCATATTAACACATTTAAATGCATTCCCAGTCTGTCACCATCACAATGAATAATTTAGGTGACATTGGCAATGGTAGAGAAAATCTTGAATTGGGGGGAAAAGGTGCATGATTGTCTGAGCTTCCCTTTCTTTATGATCCATGTGGACAAAGAAGCATCGCGAGAGCTGCATGCAATTTTCACACCTGCACCGGCAACGGAGCCCAAACATCACCATCTATCCACTTATTCATTAACATTACACATGTTAAAAAATACGCACAACATTGCAATGTTGACGCACTTTAAGAATGGTGAGGAGAAAATCAACCACCTCCAACTCACAATGTCACCAAGTTCAGGTCATCTCTTGTTAAGTTAAATTCGCAGTTTAATTTAAGTCGACAGGCTATAGATTAATTTGCTGTAAACTCTAAAAGCTTCTTACCATAGCACTTGAGTTCTCCGTGTTCCTTCGAGTGGACTACGCCGCTTATCTTTGAGCAGTCTTCTTGCCCTCCCTCTGGGCGCTGTGCTATCTGAAAGCCGCACAGACAACTGACACCTAGATGGGCCAATAGTGGACCGCGGTGGTTAAATATAACCAATCGGCGTTGATCATAGGCGGGCCTTGTTGTATTAGCGTTGCATTCCGCTCCAATGTATCAAGGCCCTGCAGCTTATTCAATCAGATTTGTATTTTATTAGGGAAAGAATTTCATTTCACAGATCAATGTTCACTGGTTGACGTGTTATGTGCCTAAAAAAATAGTCGGATTAGATTTGCTTCGTGATTTTCTCGATATAATAATGCCTGACAGTATATGTACAATTTTTATAGCTTTTTATTTTCATGCTTTTTTTTTTTTTTTTTTTTTTTTTTTGAGGGGGGAGTGAAAATTCACTCGAGACAACACACTGGTGGACCGCCTATCCTGTTTTGTGTAAAAAATAAGCTTTGCATCCAGAAAATAATATAGAATGAAAATTGACAAAATAATGGCAAAATAAAAAGCAAAAAATAAATACTACTCTGTAGTCTGATACTACATTGAACTGCAGAATATTTGTGGTTCGGCATTCCTGAAGATTTGCGTAACCATTGGCCGTGTCTGAGATTTATTCCTCCCATCCTGTTTTTTATTCTTCCAGCTGAGCCATTGTAGCAGGAAAACAAAAACTAGGCCTATAGGAAGTCTCTCCCGCACAAAGGAAGTGACATGTTCCTTGTTGAATCAATTCCCGAAGAAAAGAACACATGTGGAAATGGAATTGTCTCATTTTGTTGACGGTTCTTGTTTGTTTGTACTTCTCACCTGATGCATGGTAAAAGATGAAATACTGTTTGTGTAAGGAGCGTGCACACTTGTTTGCCCATAGGTGACATCTTGCTATTTGCACTACTATGTTAGCTAATACCAGTGATGGGCCTCATGTGAAGGTGGTTTGTTTGTGAGGAATAATTTGAAAATTGAATAGAGTCTATGTAACAAGATTACATGACTGTGAACGTGCTAGAAGTATGGCAATGATGCTTTACAACCCTCTTCGTTTTAAGTGCTTTGCCACCAGTTTAATGGCATCTACATGCAATTACAAGCCCCGTTTGTTGCAGGCGTCAATTGTCTGATTTTCGCAATTAGAGGCACAGCTCAGTCTCTAACCACCGCAAATAAGGGAGGTTAACTGAACTTATAAATTCACTGAAAAATCAAAAATCGAAGTGAATAAATGTACAACATCCATAGATATTTTAAAATGTATGTTACAATACTCATGGGTACATGGTTGTAGTAGCCTGTAAGGAAACAACAGTATCTTGAGTGTGAAGCAGACGAGCCAATAACTAGATCACTATGCTGCCGCTTATACTTTATCATACCAAGGTGAATCATTCTTAAATGATATCTGTCATGCTTGACACCTGCAACTCATTCAAGTCCAACTTCAGAAAGCTCATACCGGTTGATTGTGCAATGCCGCCACCCAGTGTTTAATGACAGGAGAGTGATAAATCCCTCCAACGAGCACTTCATCTCCACGCTACTTGAATCACGTGGACCATTATTTCATTTGCAATGACCATTGTGACACCAGAAAACTGGGTCAGTGGTTTACACTGCATTACTGCTGCCTGATAAGGCGATTGAAAAGTAATGTTGTTGTTTTTTTCCCCCTCCAGAATATACATTTTTGTATCTTCATCAGCTTCACGTCTGAAGTTCATAAAGTGACACAAAGGACAATCAACAAATTACTGGCGTGTTAGCAATAAAAATGTCAATACAACTATTAGAATTTGGTGCAAATTTAGTCAAAGAAAGAATAAAGAAATTTGACGGCTTTCAGTGTTTGAATTATTGTCCAAAAATATCAATCTTGCACAAGGTGAATATTTTATGCAAACTGTTGGAATAATCGCATTGCTTCCAAATCTGCCCATAATTGGTTAGTCAGTCTGCCCCTCGTGCATATTAACACATTTAAATGCATTCCCAGTCTGTCACCATTACAATGAATAATTTAGGTGACATTGGCAATGGTAGAGAAAATCTTGAATTGGGGGAAAAAGGTGCATGATTGTCTGAGCTTCCCTTTCTTTATGATCCATGTGGACAAAGAAGCATCGCGAGAGCTGCATGCAATTTTCACACCTGCACCGGCAACGGAGCCCAAACATCACCATCTATCCACTTATTCATTAACATTACACATGTTAAAAAATACGCACAACATTGCAATGTTGACGCACTTTAAGAATGGTGAGGAGAAAATCAACCACCTCCAACTCACAATGTCACCAAGTTCAGGTCATCTCTTGTTAAGTTAAATTCGCAGTTTAATTTAAGTCGACAGGCTATAGATTAATTTGCTGTAAACTCTAAAAGCTTCTTACCATAGCACTTGAGTTCTCCGTGTTCCTTCGAGTGGACTACGCCGCTTATCTTTGAGCAGTCTTCTTGCCCTCCCTCTGGGCGCTGTGCTATCTGAAAGCCGCACAGACAACTGACACCTAGATGGGCCAATAGTGGACCGCGGTGGTTAAATATAACCAATCGGCGTTGATCATAGGCGGGCCTTGTTGTATTAGCGTTGCATTCCGCTCCAATGTATCAAGGCCCTGCAGCTTATTCAATCAGATTTGTGTTTTAATATTTTCAATTTTTATAGCTTTTTATTTTCTTCATTTTTTTTTTTTTTTTTTTTTTTGAGGGGGGAGTGAAAATTCACTCGAGACAACACACTGGTGGACCGCCTATCCTGTTTTGCTCCCATTCTCTGAATAAAGGAAAGAAGCCACCAACCATTGGCCGTGTCTGAGATTTATTCCTCCCATCCTGTTTTTTATTCTTCCAGCTGAGCCATTGTAGCAGGAAAACAAAAACTAGGCCTATAGGAAGTCTCTCCCGCACAAAGGAAGTGACATGTTCCTTGTTGAATCAATTCCCTAAGAAAAGAACACGTGGAAATGGAACGACATTTAATTTGGCACCAGTCAACGGCTAATTGAGATCATTCATTATGAGAGGCTGAGCATGGGCCATTGTGTGATCTTCAATGAACTGCGCACCAAGTCCCATTGTTTTCTCCATCAGAACATCTCCAATAACATGCCATGAGCCTAACACACACGCACACACACACACGAATGCATTAAACGTTAGAACAAATGTGTTCAGGTGTTTAACCTGCAGGCTATTTACTTGGAATGTCTCATTGCTGTTCTTATTGATTCTCCCTGTGGCTTTCATTCGTCCAATTAAGGCTCCAGATAGACAACAAAAGAGTGTACACATGCTGAAGTGAGTGTTTTTGCAGACAGTATTGATTTACGGCCTGAACAAAGGAATAACCTCAGCATGGAGACAAATGAAAAGTAGGCTTTTGATTATTGCCCATGCATGGCATTAAATATGTTTAACAAATCACAGTCAACAATGCATAACCTTGTTGGACACATTAACTCCATTTTCTCTTTGGTCTGGAGTGTCTGGTCTCACCTCCCAGAGACTGGTTGCCATGGTGACCACTCACACTTGATAAACACACACAATGAGGCATGTTGAATGTGACTGTGACACCTGCGCACGCTTTTTTCCCCAGCTTTTCCCTGTCACATTTGCACAGACTTCCACGAGTGCCACTGAATGAGTGAAACACTTCATCCAGTTTATTGCCAAATGAATAATGGATGAAACATTAACTGGATTGGATTGCCTCGCATTAGTGTCACTGCCCCCGGTTCTATTCAGGCTTTCCGAATATGGACTAAATTAGACTAAAAGGCACCATGTGGGCCATAAATTGGTCCGAATGGCTAATCATTAAAAAAGAAAAAAAAACATCTTGTAAAAGCATGCACATGAAAGGAAAAAAAGACACAATCGAACCTCTAAAATCGAATCATTTGAAACTTGACCAGAAATTTTAGGAATTTTTACGCCTCCAAAGCCAGACAAAAATTCTAACTGCATGTTCACTTGTGTCAGCAAATCTCATGAGACCTGATTTAAGAGCTCAAAGGATTAACTCTTTGCATGGTTGCTGTCTTTCTTCGGCTTTTTGCTACATATTGCATGACACATAAAGAAGGACCATTCCCAGAAAGGCTTATGAAAGGATTTGCAGTGTGAAAACTGCAAGCAAGATTTGAATGCAGCCTGACTTCATTTACGCCCCCTGCGGTCTCTGACCAAATCGAGGGCTCCCAATAATGTTTACGAACATGATTCTCAAATTCAGAGAAAACAGCTTCCATAAAATAATGTGGGCACTATTATGCTAACTTTAGGAGTGTAAACAAGTCAATGTCAACCTTGGCTGCTACGTTGATAGCATGAATTAATTGTAGTGGAGTCCTGCTATAAAACTGGATGTTTTGAAAATTGTACATTTTTTTTTAGAATGTACAATAAATTAAAAACATTTAAATATTGGATAAACTTGAAAAGAAATGTAATGCATCATATTTGAATCCTCTCAGCTGCCTGAGGGCCCTTTGCTCTTCTGTTTGCTGGTCTTATGACCATCTGTTGACGAAAAAAAAAAGGAAGCTGCATTTTTTTTTTTTTTTTTAATTCAGAGATGGCTTTTCTACTATAGTTTGAGCAAAGCTCCTGCAACCCAAAGGACAAAGTAAAAGGGTGTGGCGGTGCTCCCCACTATGAGTGAATCTGTCACTGCTTCTCTTATTAGTTTTTGTGACAGATTACAGTGAGACAGACAAGTAAACAAAGGAATAAAAAAATGACCATTCAAAATGTCAAAAAGTTACAAGTAAAAAAAAAAATGCCTGTCCTGTGAAGGTCAAGCTTTTACACTGTTGGTTATATTAAGAATGCAATTACTCTTCTTTATATTGATCCTACGGCAACAATCGTTTGTAACAAATTTTAAATGACATCAGCGAGCATCCTACCTGGACCCAATTGTATTCAATTTAAGAGACTCAACTAGTCTTGGCTTTGTAATCATCCTGTATAAATACATGTATTACTAGTCATTGTTGAAAAACGTAATTTCGGTCATCTGTAGTTTATTTCAAATACTGTACATTTTTAGCACCAACTCAACATTTGCTAAGACAAGGAATGCAGAGAGCATCAGTCAGTGATCATCGGTGCAGTATCCGAGGTGGTTTCTGGCTCTGAATCCCCAAACTCTCTCATCTCCTCCATCTCTCTCTCCAGAAGCTCCTTCCGTCCTCTCATCCACGTCGGTCTCGTCTTCCTCTCTTTTATTGTGTGATGCAGCTCCAGCAGGCCTTGGAAACTCTCTCCTCCACACTCGGCCAGGCTGTGGCACTCATCCCTGGTTGCCAGAGCAACTCTTTTTCCCGTCACCATGTGAAGGAGGGAGAGGGTCCCATCCGAGGCGACCCCTTCTGTTACACATACCGTGCTGGGGCCTTGGCTTCTGTAACACTCCTGAGGCTTCTTCAGGGCTTTGGTCTTTGTTTTCTTGCTGAGTACGAAGTTGAACAAGGCAGTCACGAGAAGCATTGCCCCTGTAAGGGTAGAAATGTATCTGAATGTACTAAATGGCATTTAGGTATAATCAAGGTTTGAGGCTATACGTTGTACTTTATGGACATCTTAATTTTACCTGGAATAATTGCATGCCACACCAACACAGGATGCAGGAAACAGACTACAGACATTATGGAATAATAGAGGAACTTCTGAAAGCCTCCAACTTGAGCCATCTTCCCCCATAATGTAAAGAGCTGCCACTCAGGAGGACACCTGCAGAGATGGCGGAGAACTCGTCATCGGCATCTATGTAAATAAGGCCTGGACATGCCAGAATTTAGTCTGAATTTGGACAAAATGTCATGTAATGCAAATAGTAAAACACATAAAAGATATGTATTTTGTATTCAGTATCACTATGACATCATAAAACCATAACTCTCAAAGCATGTGGAATGTGTTGTTGTGTGCTTGCACCTGAGCTTTGTCCTATGCTAAGTACTTTGTCAATTTGAATGATTGACATCAAATTAGACCAATCAGGGAAGATGATATTTCCTCAGTTAGCTTGGACAAAATCCTTGCCGATTCCAATTTGGGGAGAACATAGGTCATTAGTGAAAGGTCCCAGAAGTTGCTGGACAGGCCAGATTGAGTGATAGGTCGGTGGGAAAATGTGTGTTTCCAAAGGTGCAGAGTGGATGACAACACAATGTTCATGAATAAGGTCAGTTTTGTGCAGTTTATATGCCATACAGTCAATATGGCGGTGAATATGAAGCAGCTGTGACAAGATAAAGACAATAATGGAGGCAGCAGCACAATTTCTGGGCATGACGGATATGAAAGCAGAACAGTTGACCACAGTGGCAATGCCAAATATTGATTAGAGCAATCAAATGAACGGTTTTGTTTGTATTTTGTTTGATGTTGAAGGGTTTTAGTTGTTTTAGTTTGATTGTGAGCTCTACTTTGCACTGGGCCACAATAAAACCAAATCTATGGTGTTTTTTTTTTTTTTTTAATTAAAAGTGAAACGTCTTGAACAAACAAGAGCCCACTTGCCTCAGTTCAACCTTTGTGGATTATCAAGTTATGGTATTAATGCGGATAATCAGGCTGCGTACTCACGGCAGGCACATGAGCAGAAGTGCATCCAGGAAATAGGCCAACTCAAATATCATCATGCCAACAGACGACACTCTGGTGAGGAACATATAATCATTTTGGACCACATGCATTCAGAATTTCGAACAGACTCAAACATGTCAGCTTGTGTGTGATTTTAGATTTTTTCTCTGAATAAAGGATTAGTAATTACTTCCCCTTTCAAAAAACAGATTACCATCTTGTGAACCATAAAAATGCCCCGGGATCAAACTCATCACGTGGAACGTCTCTTCTTGGAAAACACATTAGAAACAATTATGAGCTCTCCTCGAGGAGAACAGAGATTGCAGCTCTCCTCTGGGAAAAACTTTCCCATGGCTCTGCGTTAGTTTGACTATGAATGACACAAACAGCAAACGACACAAGTCCTTTGGAAGGACCCCACTTCAAACAACAATTTTGTTCTTACAGCAGGTAGATGCCAAGGCTGTTGAAGTCTCCCTGTTGAAGGGTCTCCACTCCGACAGCACACAACACTGCGAACAGAATGCAACCGATTTCATTTTGGAAGATGAGCAAGTTGTGTCCACCAGGTGTCAGACTTGGTTCATTGTTTCTCAAGCAACACGTTTGTCTGCAAGAGTGGTCTTTGCAACGACTATTTTCCTACATTCCCTGTGACTCTAAAACAAACGAGGCTTATTTAGATTAGAGCCACCGCATTGTCACACCCTCTCAAACCCAAATATAATTGAAAATCTGATTTGTATTTTTATCCTGATATTTTATTCGGATTTAAGGCACTTTTACCTTTTTGCTTTGCACATTCGCAATTCCATCCATCCAGCCATTCATTCATCCATTTTCTGAACCGCTTTATTCTCACAAGGGTCGCGGGGCGTGCTGGAGCCTATCCTAGCTGTCTTCGGGCAACCCTGAACTGGTTGCCAGCCAATTGCAGGGCACACACAGACGAACAACCATCTACGCTCACACTTACACCTAGGGACAATTTGGAGTGTTCAATAAGCCTGTAATGCATGTTTTTGGGATGTGGGAGGAAACCGGAGTACCCGGAGAAAACCCACGCAGGCCCGGGGAGAACATGCAAACTCCACACAGGGAGGCCCGAGCTGGAATTGAACCCGGTACCTCTGCACTGTGAGGTCGACGCGCTAACCACTGGACCATCGGGCCACCTCAAATTTACAATTGGTGAACCATTTTGGGTCCTGGGCTTAGTTTGGTGAACTGCTGGGATAGTGGGTTTACGTCTGAGGCCTAGTGGGGAACTCTGACTTTAGTGAACCTGAAGTAAACAGCCACAATTCGTAGCATCGAAAGTGATGTCATGGTCACCGAATTGTGGTCATGTCTTACTTGTATTCGTAATTACGATTTGAGCCCCGAATTAAACACAGCGCCCGTTAGTAACATGATATCCTTACATTCCCTCTTATCTCACATCCTGACTTCATGAATGATCAATGATACTGTTGTTCTATATATCACATTCAACATTTGTTTAGTCTAAAAGAAAGTATACTTTGGAAGACCAGCGAGAAACAAGCGATGCTTGGCCGAAACTTGAATTGACACAGAGGAGCCGAGCCAAATTCAGCTGGCTGCACCCTGAAACCAAATAGTGAAAAAGAAGCAGTCAAGTTGTGCAGATTCCAATGTCAGAATTCTGACAGTAAAGCAAACGCTTGCCGTTGGCACAAGCAACAGCGACATCTGCTGCCTGGAGTGCTAATTACCTTAAAATGATTGACCATTTAACAGTACAGAAAGACAATTAATTTGATTCTCCTCATAACAATGAGGAGGGTAATCGTGTTTTAGTTTTACGTTGCTGTAATCTTGTTTAGCTGTCTGGTAGTTGTCGTTGGTGTGAGACGTTCAAGTGCAAACAACACAGTCGTTCAAGTAAAAATTCGGATGACAACAAACTTAACACTTTACTGTAGTCCAATTGTGATTTCAATATAAGAAAAATGATTCCCTCTAAAGTTAGATACCATTTTGCCATGGAAGTTTGGGTGAGGTAAGCATGGCTAAAGCGCCTCGCTGACTACACATGGAAACAGTTTCTATGGGCGTCTTAGCAGAAATATAGCGATACAATCAGCACCAGAGGGAAATCAAGAGAATGCTCCTAGTAGCTTGCTACTCATTTATAGGGTGTGAGAGGAATAAACACTGTATACATACAGACCAGTCAACATTAAAGTGCACCCTATGTAATTGTCCATAGAAGACACACAGACACATAAAGGTAAACGCACGGTAAGCTCATGAGTGTATAAAACCACATGAGCTGAAATAAGGCCAGTAAACCTGCTGGATGCAGAGACATTAGCTGTATGGTGCACGTCTGTGTAAATGAGCAGAGTTGGCAACTGTTTCAGTTGCAGCGGCTAATGAGGCTAACAGCGAGTTTGTATCATAAGGGATTGGATGTTGTCGCCAAGCTAAAATGAGCAAATCTCTGTTTCACTCTTTCTTGTTTACTTGTGCTTTTGTTGTATTCGAAGACACACTTGCAAAAGACCATGCATTTTTGGTCAAAGAAAAACAAAAAAAAAAATCCACATGCTTGGAGCATAGTATGGACTTATGCTGCATTCTGACACAAGTGTCCTATAGTGATACAAGTGTTGTGATGTTGGCGTTTTTTTTTTTTGTGAATGTAATCTGAATTAGCACAAAGTTGGTGTTGACGCATTTTTAATCATAACAACTTGTTGAGAACGCTTGAGCTTCATTTCACGCCACTGCCCTCATTCTCGTTCCTCAGCGCCAGTCCTGCAGTCCCACTGGAATGAATATTTCAATCGGCATGTGACTCTGTGGTGTGTGACTCACAGTTAACTTCTTAACCTCCTGCAATGACAATTTGTAGTCTCACTGGCCACTTCACTAATGCTCACTTGTGGCTTAATTAAATAGTTGAATGAGTTTATTTAGTTGTAGTTCTATTGTGTGACACTATTTGTGAAGATAATCAGAGAACCTAATCGTTAATTCACTCTCACTGACATTAGAGTGTTCAGGTGTACCTTACGTTGTTTCCAGTGTATGTACTGGATGTTGGACGATTCAGCTTCATTGTGTTTTCAAAGTGGATCCCTTGGTAACTCTTAGCAAGACTGACAATGAACCTGAGATTTTAAGTGAACACGCATTGAGAATGACCTTTGCAAGTAAAAATTTCGCACCATTAAACCTTTTGACTGGACCAGAAATCTGAATTTGGGTTATTTTCTTTGTCAAGGGTTTGGTGGATAACAGTAACTGTTCAAAGCAGCAGGCGAATTATTTTATCAGAGCTGACTTTTGAAAAAGTATTGTTTAATATGGATGAGTGCTGTCCCAGCACTGATTCAGCATCAGATAACATCTTTGAACAGCATGTTGCAACACTCCTTGCCTCATGAAATTCAGACCCTCTGCGAAAGAATCTTATGAGCAACAGAGCACATTGTAGTGACATTCTGTAGTGTGTCTTGTTCCATCAGAAATAACCAGTCATCATATATCCTACCTGTAGCTGTAGAGATGCCAGAAATCCTGCAGGCAATCTCCACCATAATCCAACAAATGTTCCCTGAGTCGCCCATGAAAGCAGGGAATCTTCCCCCGGCCCCAAAAAATCTAACCTGTGATGTTTTTTTTTTTTATGCTATCTAAAATAGTTGGTGATCAGAAAGTTGCTAGGGTAACATTCTGGAAACATAGCTGACCTCTAGCTCGAGGACACGTGCATTAAAAGCCGTGATGTGATGCTTGAAGCCTCTTAGCCTGGTCTAATTCAACCCCGGTGAGGTTTGTGACTCAATAATGACCCAGTTGTTAATCAGTCTCTCTCACACACACACACACACACACACACAC